ATGTCGGCCGATCATCTCATTTAATCAGTCTGTGACGTGTAACCGGTTTTTACTGACGTGCATCTGAGTCTTGACGTTGACGAAATTTCTCTTACATTCAACTATACTCAGTAAAAATAAAAAGCTGCAAACAGCTGATATGAGGATGGCGTGTTATTCAGCGAACTGCAGATTCGTGGTCAGTTTGTGCTGCCACTTACGCAGCTAGTAGCAGCGATGTTCTAATATGAACAAAACTGAATAATAGACATAGTCGTTAATTCAGTTAACGTCAGTTATACTCATGTGAAACTGATTTCATCTGATAAGGCTGCAGATAAAGTTGGCAGCATTCCAGGTTTGGTAGGCAAAAAGTCAGATGTGATTTAGCTGAATAATACTGATTCAGCTAAAGTTGCCCGGAACTCAGATACCGCGCTAGTTACTCAGTAGAGCTCGGCGAACAGTCAGCTAAAATTTTGTCCCGGGGTGTTACTTCAGTAGGCAATGTACCCACAAATGTCTTCTGTCTAAACTGTATGCCCTTCTCTTAGATGATAGGGTAGGGAAAGGTAATTGTGTGGGCGATTGCCCGAAACCCTGCTAGCACTCAAGTGACTAAAACGTTTCTCTCTTGTCTGCCCCGTATGTCTGTTTGTGTGTCGGTACGCACGATAACATGAGAGCAGGTTAGCAGAGGGACTTAGCAAAATCAGAGTCTCTTTCTACCACTCAAAACACATCGCTATCAAAAGTAGGATGTAGTGTAGCTAAAAAAAAAAACAAGAACTAAAGACAAAACAATCAAAAGTTCGAGTTCAATTTGGTCAAAACACTTCAAAAGCAGCAAACAAATGACCTTGCTGAACCAGGTTTTGCAACTTTCAGCAGAGGCAGGCTCAGGAGCGCGTCGTGGCTGAGGACGGCCCGCCGCCGGGTGCCCCGGGCCCGCCGCCGCCCCCGGGCCCGCCCCCGGCGCCACCGCCGCCCAAGCCCTGCCCGCTGGCCAGCGTGTTCCCGGCGGACGTCCACAAGCGGGAGCAGCACGAGCGGCTCATGGACGAGTTCCGGCGAGCGCACCGGAAGATGTTCGCTCACGCCATCGCCGAGGCCAACGCCAAGGGGCCCGCCGCCCCGGGTGCAGCCCCCGGCGCCGCCACCAAGGCCCTGGAACAGGTGAGTCCTAGTCCCCTAGCTCTCAAATTCACTGTCCTAGAACCTACAGGGTGGGTGATCCGCGCCGTGGTCTTTTCCTGCTTACACTGTACCCATTCGTGCAGACAGGTTGCATACTCGCACGGGGCCTTAAGGCGTCATGGCCAGCGACGATAGGCTAGCCCACCCGCACGCATGAATCCGGTACAGTATAAGCAGAAAAAACCACGGCGCGGATCACCCACCCTGTATATACTACCACAGTAACATTACTTGCAGAACTTAAGTACGCAAGTGCGGGTGAGGTACAGTTGATGAGCATAAATGGGAGTTTTATTGTTCCATCTCGGACCCTAGTAACTTAACGTTTTTGCGTTATAGTTACACGTTATTTGAAAAGTAACGAAACTGAACAAAATCGTAAATCGAATTATTAGCGTTGTTTTAGTGTACGTGGCTTTGGTAAATCTGTTTCAAAATCAATACCATAAAAAATAAATTGTAAAATCCTCATGGAAAGTAACGATCGACTAGTACTGCGGCCGGTAACGTTCCAGTTCACAAAGTTCGTGTTATAGCTATCAAAACGTAACAAATCGAAACGAAGTAAGATACAATACACGTAACGAACGCGTAGCGCAGAATAACGCAGGTCAATGTTAAGTTACTAGTTACTATGGCCTCTGGTGCATACTCTGCATATCCACATCCACCACTGTAGGGCGTGAGGCAAGCCCATGGGAAACCCCTGTCCCCCTCTATCTGGTGTGGTGTGCGGGTGTTTGTGAGAGAGGGAGAGAAAGGGGAGGGGGGCATTGACTGGCGCGCTGGTCTCGCACCATGCGTCGGCGGAATCCAGCCGAGGCAATAATACCACGCTTCTGATTTTGCCGCTTCAATTTCCTAGCATTGCTGCCGTTCTTCTTCTATATTTTTTGCCCCTTCTGCTCCGACTGGCTTCGGGGATTCTGCAATAATACCTCAGGCGCACTCTCGGATGTTCAAAAACCACGAGCTTATTTTGCTTTTTTAAATTATTATGTTTCTAGCATTTGTCACTGTAAAATTTAGAGTCACTTTTCTTGCCCGATCAGAGCGACGACGTAAGTTTGCGAAAACTGCTCTTAACGAAAATGTCACAGAAACGACTCTGAACGAGCGATGTACATTGATATCGTTCCCTCAGGAGTCATGAAATTGGATTCAGAGTATCGCTCACCTACGAGCTAGTTTAGCGACTCCTTGATGACTTGAAACGGTTTTACGGGGTGTCTCATTGGCTCTTTTTTCTAAGAGGG